TGAGGTAGCGGAGAATAAATGAAATAGAAGGAAAGAAAATGAAGGAAAATGAAAAGAGAGAGAGAAGAAGAAAGAAATAAAATGAAGAAAAATGAAGAGAGGGAGAATCCTATAGAGTGTGAGAATCATTAGGTTGCGATGGCAATTAGAAGAAAATTGAAAAAAAAAAGTTAAGGACAATATGAAAGTTTTGCAAAAATTGTTAATAGAGTTAAGTTTTGCATTTTACTCCAAATTAGGGGAGGTTATGTGTATATTTCTTGACCATAAGGGGGTTATTTGTTTTCAATAATAAAAATTAAAAAAAATAAAAAAAAGTTTCTTTTTTGCGGTTCAATAAAAGAAAAAAAGAAAAAAAAAGACAAACTATAAGGGGGTGAAATGTAATTAACTCAAAATAAATTGTAGTTATATATAAATTAGGAGGGAAAGGGGGAAGAGTAGGTCAATTGCATGAAAATAATTAATTTTACTTGTCAAATTATGTTATGGGTTCTTTCAAATACGGGTAATTCACTAATTTATTTATATGTTGTAATGGAATTGGAAATGAATGATGAGCTTTGTGTGTGCCTCTCTCTCTTCTTCAAAAAAATTTCTAAGGACCAGGCTAGCCAAATCCCATGGACTGCGGGTGACTTTGGTACAAAAACATTTTTATGTCACTTTCACGGTGAATAGTTCACCCCTCCATTATTCTGTACATTAATTGTAACATTAAGGCCTTTTTTGGCAACATGTCGATTTAGTCAAAAAGTCAAAAGTTTATTTAAAAAAAAAAAAATCAATAACTCATACCAAAAAGTCAAATATTCTCTTTTCTCTTTACTTTTTACACATCTTTTCGTAAAAGGTCAAAAAGTTATCCCAAACATACTAGTTTTTTTTAGCTCATATTTTAGCCAAATAACTAAAAAATTACTAAATTAACATGTTCCCAAACGAGACCTAAGTAACCAAAATGATACATATTGCATACTTTGACAATTAAAAGAATAGTTTTTTTTTTTTAAATTTTTATTTTAAACTTAATGTCCATTTTTACCCTTGATCTTAAATGTATCTACAAATAAAGTTAGGTTGGAAGATCAAATCAAAATAATAATTTAATACATTAAAAATGAATACAATTTAAATATTAGGGAACAAAATTACACTAACCAAATATTTTGGAGTCTGAAAAATAATAAATATGGGCCAAACACATTTATAAATAAATATGGGTTAAATTATACATGGCCCAATAAAACATTTGGGACCCTTTAAATTGATCTTAAAACCAAAAAAAAAAAAAAAAAGTTGAACCTATAACAATTTTTTAAATTTAAAGCCCTATTTTTGGGCCAAAATATGGGGCCTAAGGCACAAGCCTTACCTGCTTAGGGCAGGGCCGGCCCTGCAATTGATAGCCAGATTTAATTCAACCCAAAAGAAGGGACCCCACCGGCCCTGTTTGAATTAGGGGTGAGCATGGTTCGGATTGGACCGGATTGGGGTAAAACCAGGACCAATCCGTTATCTGCGGTTCCTGAAAAATTGAAACCAATCCAATCCGTTTAAATCATGGAACCAATCCGAACCAATCCATTTAAATACGGATTGGATCGGTTTAGGACCACGGATTCACATAATTAAATAACAAAAAAATATATATAACAATAATTAAATAACAACTCGTTAAAAGTTTATTCGGGATCTACTCTTTATGTGAATAAACTAAAGTTGAACACAATTTTAAATTCGTCAAGTTTGAACAACTTATTACTTGTCTTAATAAACTTATATGCACTATAAAAAATCAATTTACTCGAACTCAATTTGTATTCGATTCATTAAATTTTTTTTTAGGATCACCTTATTATGTAAACAAACGGTATTTACATAGTTGTCGCTTAGGCCTCGTTTGACATGCAAAACTTTTAGCCAAAAAGTCAAAAAGTTACTTAAAAAAAAAAAAAACCAATAACCCATACCAAAAAGTCAAATATTCTCTTTTCTCTTTACTTTTTACACATCTTTTCGTAAAAAGCCAAAAAGTTATCCCAAACATACTAGTTTTTTTTAGCTCATATTTTAGCCAAATAACCAAAAAGTTACTAAATTAACATGTTCCCAAACGAGACCTAAGTAACCAAAATGATACATATTGTATACTTTGACAATTAAAAGAATAGTTTTTTTTTTAATTTTTATTTTAAACTTAATGTCCATTTTTACCCTTGATCTTAAATGTATCTAAAAATAAAGTTAGGTTGGAAGATCAAATCAAAATAATAATTTAATACATTAAAAATGAATACAATTTAAATATTAGGGAACAAAATTACACTAACCAAATATTTTGGAGTCTGAAAAATAATAAATATGGGCCAAACACATTTATAAATAAATATGGGCTAAATTATATATGGCCCCAATAAAACATTTGGGGCCCTTTAAATTGATCTTAAAACCAAAAAAAAAAAAAAAAAAAAAAAAAAAAGGTTAAACTTATAACAATTTTTTAAATTTGGAGCCCTACTTTTGGGCTAAAATATGGGGCCTAAGGTACAAGCCTTACCTGCCTTAGGGCTGGGCGGGCCCTGCAGTTGATAGCCAGGTTTAATTCAACCCAAAAGAAGGGACCCCACCGGCCCTGTTTGAATCATACAATGTTGGATCATGTGATGGAAGCAGGAAAGTATTGGTGATGAAGATGGACGGCTGGAATGAGTACCTTGAGCGAGAAGTCAGTATATAGAGGGTTATAATCGGGTGGGCTCGCACTCCTCTGCTACGTGTATGCCACGTCAAGGTGTGTTCCATTTTTCTACCTTGTTTGGGGAAATCTTCGTCTACACAAGTTCAAAGGCTTTTTTATTTTTTATTTTTATCGATTCAATCGAAATTACAAACAAATTGATATGTTACTGACAATTGGGTGCCAATTGACTTGCGTAATTGGTTAACCATCGATTAAGATTGATGTCTATATCTATCTATATATATAATTATTTGAACTTTAATTACCACCTATTGAACAATAATCGAAACAATATTTCCTAGCAATAATACTATAACCATGTTTTTGTATCATGTTTTTTTTACTACTTGATTATGATCACTACAATGGTAACAAATGTGGCATTTCAATTATATGTTTGTAACGGAAGATTTATATAATGGAGAAGATCACAATGCAGGAAGGAAAAAAAAGGTGATATTTTAACATATAAAATGATACATCACAGCTAATAAATGTTGCAACATTTTTTTGGATCTTATTATTTTTTTTTTAATCCCAAACTGGGGTTTAATTAATGTATGGGCTCAAAAGTTCAAATAGAATAAATCATGCACTCTCCATGGACAACGATGAGCAGTAGGGAGAAGTGGCAAATGGGTAGCTAGAGACGGGTTAAAAAGGGTTACATATTTAGAGTGATTCAATTTAAATTAGTTTATTTAATAAATGAGTTTAAATAGGTTTGGTTGAATTAGATGCGAATTGGATAAATGAATCCAATCAATCCATTTATTTCATTTTTTTTAAATTATTAATTTAAAAAAATATATATATTTTTTATTTTTTTAAAAACATTTTATTTTTATTTTTTTTACAAATAATTTTTTATTTATTAAAAATAATTTTTTATTTTTTTCTAATTTTTTTTATTTTTATTTTTTAAAAAAATATATATTTTTTGATTTTTTTTAATTTTTTTTCTAAATATATATATATATATATATATTTTTAAATTTTATTTTTATTTTTATTTTTTTTTTAAATTTTATTTTTATTTTTAAATTTTCATGTCCCCTTTATTTTTATTTTTGGTTTGCCTGCTGGCGTGGGCTCCACGTGTGTTTCCATTCAAAAGCTTCCATGTGTTTCGATAAAATAGTAAAAAGTTAAAAGATTCAACTATAAAGCAGAGGTGACAAACAAGAAGTAAAATCAGAGCAAAAGTTTTCATTAGAGTTTGAGAAAGGTGAGAGAGAAAGAAGAATGCGTCCAGATCTGGACAGAGGGAATGAGAATAGAGAGGAGGCTGCTGTTCGCCGGTAAAATAAGTTTACTATTACTCGTGACTTCTTTGCTATGTTCAGTCTACTTTTGCTTGCAGCGGCTTCTTTGTTGTGTTGTCTCCAAGCTTCATATTTCAAAAAACAACTTTTGAACAGTCCAAATTTCTATTCAACAGTGTTACCGGCGCCGGTGCCGGCGTTACTGTCGACGTCTTTACCGGCACGGTGTTACCGGCGCGGGTGATGACGTGGCTGCCAGTGGTGTGGTGGTCATTAGTGTTGAAAGATTTTAGTGTTCAGTGTTGTATGATTTTTATTTAGGGTTTGGTCGAGCCCTTGACTACTCTTTGAAGAGAGTTATCTTCATGGTTAAGTTTTAGTACTGCTCCTCCAAACTCGACTGTGTTTAGAATTTTCAAAATTTTTTACCAAAATTTTTATATTGTCTTCAAATTTGCCCCTCTCAAACTATGTAATGTGTCCCCTACATTCATTTTTTTTTTAGCTTTTCAACAAACCACCTACAATAATTCAAATTTTATTTCACTATAAAATTTAGTATAAATTACAAATACACCTCCTGAGATTTGATTAAAATACAATTCATCCTTTATAGTTTTAGAAATTACATTCCACCTTCTTGAGGTTTCTAATTTCATAACAAATCGTCCCTTTTATTAATAAATTATCAAGTCAATCAACAGTTTTTAATGATGCTAGAAATATGTTTCAATTAATAATTTAGGTAATTTTATTATTGTATATGAGAGTAATTATGAATTTTATTTTTTTAGTTAAAGAGAAAATTCTAATAAGGGAGTATTTGTAATTTTCCAAACCACAGGGATAATTGATATTTTAAGCAAACTTCAAGAGGTGTATTTATAATTTATCCTAAAATTTATCAAAAAATCTAGGTACAAATTAATACAACAAAAATTGAAACCTGCGACATGTCTAATATATATTATATCTTTATTTTTTTTCGCTAGGGCAAGAGTATTCATCAAATCCACTGCTGCTGTATACTTCTCCTTGCTTGGATTGCTAGTTGGTTTCATTCAAATTAGTCAGGGTGCAGCTGAGTCCCCATTCAAAATCCACCCCATGAGCATGCTAGCTTCCTTGATGTCAGCATGCATCTACAGCTTGGCCCTTGTGTTGAAAGAATTTGTTGAACTTGAAGGCCAGCAAATTATCAGTGAAAACTATGCTCGAATCTTTTTCTATGTTACTCTGATCGTTGCAGGTCTCGCACCGGCCTCGCTTGTCTCCGTCTTGGTCCCAGATTGGCTCATTTGGCTTCCATATGGCATCTGGTTCATTTTCTCTGTCATTGTTGTTCGCTTAAAGGCATGGGACTTGTTCACAGGCTTCCTCCCAGCCCAGATTGCTGGTCCTGATAATGAAAATTAAATGGAATTAATATGTAGTGTGTATGTATGTATGTTTAATAATGAGCTACATGTTTAATAGTGTGTTAGATTAAAGGAGTGTGGAGTTTGTTATGCTAGGTTTGTGATACCTGCTTTTCAATTTCTGTGTGAGTTTGTTATGCTTAATTTGTATGACACATGCATTTCTTTAATGTTATGAACTTTTGTGAGATATATATATATATATATTTGATGTATTCTTTTATTTGGGAAATCTCTCTTATCCTTCTTGACATACAAATTATTATTGTTATGTGGGAAACAATATTTTTTGTCTTATTTTGTTTTGTTTTTGGGATCAACAAACAAGAAAAATCATATAATTAATTGCAAGAGCATACAAATAGAAAGCAAGTCAGCCTAATCTCTTCTTATAGCAGCGTTATAGTTTTAGTGACTTTTTTAAGATATCGCTGAAGTCCCTTTTTTGTGTAATGAAAGGGTAAACAACGACAAAGAAAAAATAATAATAACAATAATTTGTTTGGCTCCTCTATCATAAGAGTAAAAATAGAATACAATGGTGATGCAATTTCAAAATAATGTTGTTACATGTTACAATTTCAAAATAATGATGTTACAATTTCAAAATAGTGTACCAACATATGTTATGTTATGACATTATTATTTCAAAATTATGGACTCCACCTATTATACAAATTACAAAGATTCAAAACTTCTAAAATTATATTACATCATTCATTAGTATACTAATTGGTATACTAATTAGTACGTATACCTTTATTCATTTCGATCACATGATATCACCCTTCAATAACTAAATATTATATGAATAAATAAATCCCACATAAACACAAAATAATTATTGGAAAAATTATTATTTAGGAGGTGTTTTGAAAAATTATTCTAAAATAGTGGAAAAAATTATGATTTTAATTATTAATATTCAAAAATTTTATTACTTTTTTGTAATATTTTTTTTGATACACCACTGGTACGTAATTCCCCCATAATTATTTATATATACATGATACTTATTAGATTATGTTTAATTTGGTTCATCACACATGTATTATCTTTTTATTAAAAGGTGATGTCAAGTTATTACGAACCAAGCATAACAAAATGAAAACAAAAAATTCTATAAATAATTTTCATATATAGTGATGATTGATTATGGACTATTCACTTCAAAATAAAATACTATTAAAGATACATTTATTTAAAATAATGACATTGCCATATCATTTTTGTAGAATTGTTTTTAAAGAATTTTATATATGAATAGAATTTTTCAAATAAAATTGAGACTAATGGTAAAAAAATAAAAATAAAATTGAGATGAGGAATCAATCAATCGATTGGTTCAAATATGTTTAATAATAATAATAATAATAATTATTATTATTATTATTATTATTATTTAAAAGAGAACACAAGAAGGATAGGTCATTTTGTTGTCTCTAAGGCTGGGAGGGGATTTAGATTGATAATGAGGTGGACTCACTATGGGGTGTTTATTTTGATAAATAAGGAGAGGACTCCTAATCCCATTGTATTAGAATAGGTTTTGGAAGAGGAATTGGGATGAAGGAGGTGGAGATGGTATTAGAAAAATAGTCCCATGGACTAGAAATTTTTTAATTTTATTTATTTTTTACATGTTGGGCATTTTTTTTAAACATTAATGTTTAATTTTTTTATATTTTTTGTTAAGTAAAAATCATTATTTTATTTGTTTTATTTTTTTCTAGAATTTTTTTTTTAATTTTTTACATATAGGACATTTTTTTTAATATTAATATTTAATGTTTTTTTAGTTTTTTATTTATTTTATTATTTTATATAAAATAATTTAACAATTCCTACCTTAACAACTATTATCAAAATAAATATAATTTTATTAAATTCCGTCACTAACAATCTTTTCATGATCAATCCACTCCCTATAAATCTTTTGCATCTGAATACTCGTCAAAAGCTAGGTGAGATAGCATCTCTCTCTCTCTTACTAGATTCTGAGCTGTTTTTTTTTTGAACGGAGATTCTGAGCTGTTGAAATTACGACTTTTGTGGGTTTTTTTTATTACAATTTATTAGGATCTTAGTTGGAACTTAATTAAATAAAGTGTGGGATTCTAGTGACAGTTTGTTTGTTAGTGACCCAGTCTCAAGGATTATCATTAGAGTAATGCTAGAGACCTAAATATTCTACTAAAAATTTTATCAAATATCTCATGGGTATGAAACCCACACAATGTGGGTCTCATGTGAGTCCCACACCCATGTGAGACATTTGGTAAAACTTTTGATAAAATTTTTAAGAACTCTAGCATTTTTGTTATCATTACATTCTTTTTTCTTATATAAAAAATTCTTATTTTATTTTATTTTCGGTAACCGATGTTCAAGTTAGGCCAAGTTTGGCATCTTCCAAAAAATTCAAAAAGTCAAAAAGTCACTATCCTATTTAAGTCACATCATCTCACATCGCCTCTCTAACACATCACTTCAAACCCAACTCAAATCCAACCCATATTTCATAAAAAGTCAAAAAGTGCACTTATTTAGTCTTCCCAAACTTGACCTTAGTAGTTTTGCAATGTGAAGAATGCTAATCGACCGACCCATGAACAACTAATCAAAAGCACAAATCAATTTCTACGACAAATCAAATATATATATATATATATATTAACTTAGATGGGCAAACAATATGCACTAAAATAAAAAAGAAAGTATGAACTACTAGGTTAATTTCTACTATCATAACAAATAACAAATAATATTAAAAAAACATATATCACTAAACATATTTTTTTGTATTCATGTTAACTTACAAAAACATAATTTTGTATATTAAATTAAATTAAATAATACTTGATTTGGTCATACAAAAGAGAGAAAGTCTAAGTGTAATTTGTGTTAAATTAGAATAAATTAAACCCGTAATCTCTGTAATTTACCTCTTGTATTAATTCAGTCATTATATATTTAGTATTATCATAACAAATAAAAAAAAATATTAAAAAAATATATATCACTAAACATATTTTTTTGTATTCATGTTAACTTACAAAAACATAATTTTGTATATTAAATTAAATTAAATAATACTTGATTTGGTCACACAAAAGAGAGAGTCTAAGAACCACTAGTGTAATTTGTGTTAAATTAGAATAAATTGAACCCGTAATCTCTGTAATTTACTTCTTATATTAATTTAGTCATTGTATATTCAGTTGTAGTAATTTTTCCATTTTTTTTTTCATTGTGTTAATTTAATACTTTTTTTTTTCCAACCTAGATTTACTGTCTTGACATGCTAGAAAAAGAGGCTTGTGCAAAATTTGGGGGAGGTTTCTAACAGTAGGAGTAACTCAGCCTTGATCAATCTTAAACTTAAAAAATAAATGTGTAATTCAGATTTAATTTTTGTATAATAAGACTTATATCTGAAATGAATTTAAGCAACACAATACCTTTTGAAAGAAGAACTTGGACCATCTCCAGTTAAGGGGCATTCTATTTGAATTCAAAAAATATCTTAGTACGTTTAATTTAAATTTATAAATTTTAATTCTTATTATATTCTAATGTGAATTTATTAATAAGGACAATCTATATTAAACCCTAAAATATTTTTTTTTTCTCATAGTACACCCTAATCCATTATTCCTATTCAAATCTCTAGATCTTCTTTCCCAAGAGATCAAAATTAGTTTGTCTTCTTCTTCTTCTTCTTCTTCTTCTTCTTTCACACTCCAAAACTCCAATCCACCTTACCAAAACTCACTATTATTATTAACATCATTGTTTTTTATTATTTTGAAATCATAAACCCTAGAAGAAAGTTTGAACAATCAAACAATGGAGAAAAATTATAATCAAGATAATATTTTGAAGCAATCCATCAAAGAGGAGGTAAGCATTCATATAAAAATCAAAATATAATTATTAATTTATGTATTTTTCACATGTCCCATTATAATGTTAAATCTTTTAATTTTCACAATCATATAAATAGTATTATAGCTTCTCCAAGTCGTAACAACAGAAGTATTAATTTCAATATAAAAACCAAACAGCCTAGGTTGCTATTTATGTTAAATATGTAATAGGAGATTCTATTTGCTATGACACTTTCAATAATTTTTAATTTTAATTTTATTTATTTATTTATTTATTTTGGTCTTTTTCTTCTTCTTCTTCTTCTTTTTTTTTTTTCCTGAGACCTATATGCTATGACACCTTTCTATAGGCTACCAACCTTTTAGATTTCAATGGTTAAGGTTAAAAAAAAAATGTACATCTAGTTTTCGCGATTTCCATTGAGATGAAGTTTATCTATCAATTTTTGTTGCATTCAAATTTATATATTAGTTCGTAATTAATCATTTTAATATTTGGTTTCATTTTATCAATTTTTTTTTTACATAAAATCCTTGTCTTCTTGGTGGCTTATTGTTTCTTTTTGATATGCAACTTTCTCTTCTGGTGTACCTGCTTGAAAATTTACGCCAAATAGGACAATCAATTAGAAGAGATATACTTGTCCTCTTCCTATTACTTTCTTGTTTCTTGTTTCTTGTTTCTTTAATTTTTTCTTTAGTGATGAATGTGCACTTTCTGCCCTAATCAAATAAAAATTTAAAAGATTCATATACAAATAAGTTCAAATTGAGTTTATATAATTGTTAAATTATTTACCTATTCGTTGTAGCATTCCCGTAGTGCATGCATGAATTTGTCCATGATGCAACAAATTTCTCCTTGTATTGCTTCAACCATATTTGAGTAACATAATCAAGTGCCTCTGGATATGCACTAAACTCTTTGTGCAGTGTGCTAAGGTGTTCATGGTATTCATCGTCAGACGAAGAGAAGATTAACAAATTCTATGAAGAGTTAAACTTTTCCCACGTGTCTTTACTATCAAACATCTTCTTGCACTTAGCCAACACATTCTTATTTATATGCCATCGACAAAACAAGTGTTTGGAACCAGAAAATACTACAACAATGGCATTCATCAATGCAAGCTCTTTATTTGTGACAATAACCTCAGGAAAAATATTCTCATCCATAAGACCACGTAATATATTCAAAGCCCATACATAGGTATCGGTACGCTCGAATTGTAAATATGCTAAAGCTATTAAAAATGTCATATATGTGGAAGTCACACCTACAATATCAAGCAAGGGAAGACCATACCTGTTGGTTT